CCCTAAAACCCTAAACTCTTCAGGGTGTAGGGTTCTCGGATAGCAGCTGCGGCCTGGAAGTAGGCGAGAGAAAGGATCGAGGATTGCTGCTCGACTCTCTGGGTTTGTGCTTCGTGTTATGCTGAAAGAAGGTTTAGGGTTTAGGGTTTAGGGTTGCAGGCAACTGTGCGCGTTTTCTCTGGGTGACCTTGCAACAATCAATCGACAATCAATCTGAACACTTAGCGCAGCATCGAGGGCAAGCACCGCCATCTCATTCAAACAATCGGAATTCTCCATCAGAAAGGCTGCGCAGTCGCCCGCATGTACCGAAGATATAGTACCAGCAGAGGCCCGCAAAACACCAAAAGACCATATGAGGGGCGATAGAAGATCCACGCTGTCCCCATAGTGCAGCCCGAGAAGAAGCAGGCACAGAGGAAGGTGCCGGCGTGGACCAAGAAGAAGATCACCGTGCCCAGGATCCAGAGGAAAGACAGCACCCATGTCAGCGGTCGCAACATCATGTTGAAGCTCTGCCACATGAGAATGAAACCGAACATACGCACTCCGGCATTGATCCGTCGCTCGATCACCTCTCAAACAATCAAATCGTTCAATCTGTCGGACTACAGCTAACACGAAACAACGCGACTGTGTCACGGGATCATCACTGGATCGAAGGCTTTTTGGCTTTCGCTGTAGGGACTAAAACCCTCCACCCCAAAAGCCGTAAACCCTAGGCCCTAGAGCAACACGAAACCCTCAGCCCCTGTGCCAAAGATCCCCAAAGATCAAGCCCCTGAACCTTTTAGCTTCGGGTTTAGGGTTAAGAACGCTAACAGTGCGAACTCTCCAGAGGCCTCCACCCCACGGCTCAGATGGCCGAAAGCCCTAAACCCTAAACCCTAAACCCTAAACCCTAAACCCTAAACCCTAAACCCTAAAGCCAAATAAGAAAATCCCACGTCCTTCATCCTCGAGCTTAGAAAAATTCGAAGCCCGAGCCCCCCACCCCCCACAAAAAAATCTGACTGTCAGAATAGGGCTTAGAGCTTAGGGTTTAGGGTTTAGGGTTTTAGGGTTTAGGGTTTTAGGGTTTAGGGTTTAGGGTTTAGGACTTTTGGAAAACCCCCATCCTTCTCCTTCGCGATGACGGCCTCACAGGAGTGGGTGCCCTCAAAGGCCAAGCAAAGCTCATCCGGCGAGGAGCCGTCCAGGAAGGCCGAGGCTAATTTCACGCAGTTCCAGGTGTCTTTCAAGACCTTCTCCCTTGGTTGGGGCGTTGGGGATGTGGGGATCTGAAGGGTTTTAATAGGTTCCTGTATAGTTTTCGGGGTAAGGAACCCCCCAAACCCTATTCTAAGTATTAAGGCCCCTAAACCCTAAACTCTTATAGCAGCCCTTATAGAACCCTTTACGGAAGGATTGCAATAGGTTTCTGTAAGGTTTCGCGCGACCTTGAACCTGTTGGTCGGGGGATCCATGAGGGGACTCGCTCTAATAAGGGGTTCTACAAGGTCTTTAGAAGGCTTCCACCCTGAACCCTAAACCCTAAACCCTAATAAGGGTTTCGAAAACGAGTTCTACGAGGTCTTTAGAAGGCTTCCCCACGAATTTCATTAGGCTTTAGCCGTCGTAGGATTCTTCAGGGCTTCTGAGGTGTCTTTCTAGATTTTGCGGTGTGTAAAAAGGGTTTAGGGTTTAGGGTTTATGGAGCCAAAGTGCCCAGCAACCCTTTGAACCTCAGCTCTGAGTAGAACTAGTGTTGGGGGTTTAGGGCCTAAGGAGTTTGGGTATGCCAGTGCCGGGCATGAAACATCTGGTCCACTCCGTGCTGGAGATGCAAGCTGATCGATCGATCGTCCTCGATGTATATGTCATCCTCTTCGGCAGAAAATAGGGGACCCTAATATAGGACCCCAAATAGTAAGATCCTCATTATAAGGATTTCAACATAAGGTACCCCTTGTTTTCGGAAACTCAAATAGGTCATCCTCGCTGGCACCCAGCAAGGTCTCCCCCATCTCGTCTGCGATGTTCGTCGTGGTGGTGTCGGCCCTTACCCAAGGAGATCGCTCGGCCTTGTTCTGATTGAACTGCCTAAGTTTCAGTTTAGGGTTTAGGGCTTAGGGTCAGGACTTGCAAGACAGCACTCGAAGCTGGTGCTCGCACTCAAGTCCCCCAGTATGCTAGACTCCAGCCACACTCAGCCCTAAACCCCTGACCCTTCAATTCAATTCTGCCCCTAAAACCAAATGCCCACAACTCCAACCCGACAGCCGCACTCGCCATGCTCTCGAAGTCGCAGCGGAACGAAGGTCCAATGGTTGGGCCCCACCTCCCAGGGATCCGGGGCATCGGTGCACTGCACGTCGCTGACTTCGAAGAAATCCTGAGGTCAGCAACATAAGCAGCCCATAAGTTTAGGGGTTTAGGGTCTTGGGGTT